TCTTGGAGAATTAAACAAAATAAATGGCTCCAAGTATTCTGGACTAATCAGCAATTGCTCATTGCCATAATATTCCTCTGGAAATCGTAATTTCCTGCATTGGTAAAAATGAAAATGTTCATTTTGTAGAATTTATGAGATGAAACTTAAAACTAATAAGCTGGCATTTTGGTGTTGACTGTAAAATTATTTGCAATAATTTACTGACAAATTGAAAATAACCAAAACCTCCAACAAACAGGCATTGGTTAAATATATGATAGCATATTTCAACTTTTTAAAAATTGCTAACTCCTTAAGCGGTTTAAAAAGTATATTTTTATAATTTTAAATGGCATGTGAGAACAAAAACCCTCATTTTAAATTTAAAATATGAAACACACATTTTAGGGTCAATATATTAAGGATTGTGTTAGAAAATTTCTTAAAAATACAATAGATGAATCACGTGTGGAGATTATTAGTTAATAAAAATACGGAGTCTTAAACAAAACAGTGCATATATACCTTAAATATTTTGTTTCAACCTAAAACAATTATATATACTTTCACTTGAAAATGAAAGTATAAATGTTTTACTTTCACTTGAAAATGGACTTCCTTGGTGGCTCAGACGGTAAAGAACCTGCCTGCAATGCAGTAGACCCAGGTTCAATCTCTGGGTCAGGAAGATCCCCTGGAGAAATGAATGGCAACCCACTCCAGTATTCTTGCCTAGAGAATTACATGGACAGAGGAGACTGGCAGGCTACTGTCCATGGGGTTGCAAAGAGTTGGGCACAACTGAGCAACTAACATTTTCACTTGAAAGTACTTTGATGTAACACGAAAGCATGGTTGGAATTCTTACAAAGAACACATTGTAATGCATTATCTCTAATTGCAGGTTTACTTTCCTTGAATTGGAGGGTGAAATTTGTACATTTTATGAAACCATATGAATAGAAGCTTCAAAGATTTTTTTTTTACAATCTTGTCTATTCTTTTAGATCATATTTAAGAAAAAATGCTTTTCAAAATTAAATGTAATAGCTAGTAGTTGGGCTGGACGCCACAGGCTTATGAGCCTTCTAGACGAAAGAAAGAGCCCAGAGACAGGGGCAGAGACATCAACCGCTACTGGACAGAGGATCCTCTGTGTCTGAAACAAAAGGTCGTGGAGTGACACCCCACTGTGAACAGCAGACAGTAAGAGCAGGCAGGACACAATCACAACCTTCACTACTTGAGGGAGAAGGAGACTGCCATTTATATGGGCAATCAATGTCAGGTTTTCTAATCAGTCACCAGGGAAACCAGTGTCTGGGGCAGCGGACAACCACGTAGGCAGTTACTGATTAGGACTTATAATTAAGAGGACTGGATAGGGGACTTCCCTGACAGTCTAGTGGTTAAGACTCCACCTTCCAATGCAGGGGGCACAAGTTTGATCCCTGGTCAGGGAACTAAGATCCCACATGCTGCATGCTGCAGCCAATAAATAAATAAACAAACAAAAAAAAAGAGGACTGGATAGTCATGTGAGTGAAGCAGGCACTGGTCAAGCAGGAGATGTACAAAGAGCAAGGGAAGAGCCACCTTGAATGGTCTGACCATACTCCAGTACAAATGGCATTAAAATAGGTTTCAGAAGAGATTAGACATTCAACTTGATCCTTGGCGGCAGGGGTAATTAATTGAACCTGCTGGAAAGTGGTCTTTTAGTCATAAATGAGCAGCTTTCCATGGGCATGGCTGGGTAGGCTTATGGAGTGAATGAAAATATAGGGTAAATGTGAGTGTGCACTACCTGGAGGGATTGTTAAACTCAGGTTGCTCAGCCCTGTGATTTGATACAGAAGGTCTGGAGAGGGGCTGAGAACCTGCATTTATTACAAGTTTCCAAGTGATGCTGATGCTACTGGTAGGGGGTCACAGGCTGAGAGCCACTGGCACGGGTCCATCCCATCAGTTCATTTCATTTCGGTCACTCTGTTGTGTCCAACTCTTTGTGACCCCATGGACTACAGCACGCCAGGCCTCCCTGTCCATCACCAACACCTAGAGTTTACTCAGACTCATGTCCATTGAGTTGGTGATGCCATCCACCATCTCACCCTCTGTCATCCCCTTCTCCTCCCACCTTCAACCTTTGCCAGCTTCCAGATCTTTTCAAATGAGTCAGTTCTTCACATCAGGTGGCCAAAGTATTGGAGTTTCAGCTTCAACATCAGTCCTTCCAATGAATATTCAGGACTGATTTCATTTAGGAGGGACTGGTTGGATCTCCTTGCAGTCCAAGGGACTCTCAAGAGTCTTCTCCAAAACCACAGTTCAAAAGCATCAATTCTTTGGCACTCAGCTTTCTTTAAGTCCAACTCTCACATCCATATATGACTATTGGAAAAACCATAGCCTTGACCAGACGGACATTTGTTGGCAAAGTAATGTCTCTGCTTTTTAATATGATGTCTTGGTTGGTCATAACTTTTCTTCCAAGGAGCAAGTGTCTTTCCATTTCATGGCTGCAGTTACCATCTGCAGTGATTTTGGAGCCCCCCAAAATAAAGTCAGCCACTGTTTCCACTGTGTCCCCATCTATTTGCCATGAAGTGATGGGACCAAATGTCATGATCTTAGTTTTCTGAATGTTGACTTTTAAGCCAACTTTTTCACTCTCCTCTTTCACTTTCCTCAAGAGGCTCTTTAGATCTTCTTTGCTTTCTGCCATAAGTGTGGTGTCATCTGCATATCTGAGGTTATTGATATTTCTCTCAGCAATCTTGATTCCAGCTTGTGCTTCATTCAGTCCAGCATTTCTCATAATGTATTCTTCATGTAAGTTAAATAAGCAGGGTGACAATAGCCTTGACATACTCTTTCCTGATTTGAAACCAGTCTGTTGTTCCATGTCCAAGTTCTAACTGTTGCTTCTTGACCTGCATACAGGTTTCTCAGAGTCAGGTCAGGTGGTCTGGTATTCCCATCTCTTTAAGAATTTTCCACAGTTTGGTGTGATGGTTAAGGGCTAATCCTATATAGGATTTAACAATTAAGCACTGCTTTTCCTCCTTAGGGTGAGGAGGATAAAGTGTGAACTGTCATATACCCTTTAAAGCAATATGTTTGGTTCAGGAATTAAATTGTATTCCATAGAGAGGAAATGTATGTATTAATTACTAGATACAATCATTGCTTTTATGATCTTGACATTTAGAATGACTGTATTTGGTGCTTAAAATAGCTGATCACTTTATTTTCCTGACTAATTTCTTGTTTCTAAATGATAAAAGAAAAATGTATGGATCTTTAACTGCAAACACTCTTCTGTATGTAACACTTTGCAAAGGCAGGTAGCCTTTATCCCCGATCAATGTAAAGGTCCATGGAGTCAAAGCTATGGTGTTTCCAGTAGTCATGTATAGATGTGAGAGTTGGACCATGAAGAAGGTTGAGCACCAAAGAATTGATCCTTTTGAATTGTGGTGCTGAAGAAGACTCTTGGGGTCCCTTGGACTCCAAGGAGATCAAACCAATCAATCCTAAAGGAAATCAACCCTGAATACTCATTGGAAGGACTGATGCTGAAGCTGAAGCTCCAATACTTTGGTCACCTGATGCGAAGAGCTGACTCGTTGGAAAAGACTCTGATGCTGGGCAAGATTGAGAGCAGGAGAAGAGGATGACAGAGGATGAGTTGGTTGGATGGCATCATTGATTCAGTGGACATGGGTTTGAGCAAACTCTGGGAGATAGTGAAGGACAGGGAAGCCTGGTGTGTTGCAGCCCGTGGGGTTGCAAATAGTTGGATGCAACTTAGCCACTGAACAACTACAACAATGAAAAGCCAACTGGAATGTAAGATATAACTGTTGCCTTTTTGCAACATTTTATCTCGTGGACTTTTCAAGCATACTTGAGTTTGCAGTGTGCAGGATGCAGACTGTGATGAGGGGAATGCAGCTTCCTGGACAGGGCGAGAATTGCGAGGTGAATTTGCAAGATGGATCTTCTGCCCTCTGACGGGCAGTGACCAAGAATAAGGACAATAGGAAGCAGGGTCCTGGGTGAGCAAGCAGCTGTCTGCCCTCCCAGTGGTGTAGGCTGCTGTTAAAGGAGCAATGTTCAAATTATTTTACTTACCAACTTGCCAAAAACCAGAAACAGAAATGTGTTATGATCCTCTTTAGGGATGAGAGTCCCTAAACACATAACAGGGAAACTAAACAATGTTACATCATTCAGAATGATACAGTGGGAGTAGATTTATTTACATGAAAAGATATTGTACTTCTGAGTTGAAAAATGCAAGTTACAAAGCAGTTTATGTTGTATGAGTCCATTTATGGCAGGAAATAAAAATCAAAGTCCATACAGTCAAATATTTCTAGTGGTTTTCTTGACAGGAGGGAAAAATGTTGGATTCTTGGTATTTTTTGATTCCTGTGTTTTTCAGTGCATATTGCCTGTAACATATTACTTATGGGATTTAGAAAAATAAAAACAAAGAGGTGGCTATTATTTTTAAGAAGCAGATAGGAGTGACAGAGAGACCATAATAGTTATCTCCCACAGTTTATTTTAAAATAATGCCTTTATTGATCTCCTGAGACAAACATTCCACCATCCCACAAGAAGGTTTGCATATACAGCTTGTGTGGATGCAAAAGTGATCTGTCTGCTGACATACTGCAGCATTAAACGTCTTTAGTATGTGGCATTTACTATATAATTACTCCCTCAAATACTAGCTGTTTACTGATAATGAAATAACAAACACAGAAATAGGCACAGTCATAAATTACTGGTAGTCACCATAGCAACACCCTATGAGAACTTCTATTTTTGTCCTCATGATTACAAAATTACTTTTGCTAATAGTCTTACATCTTGTATGTTTTAAATATGTGAAATATTTTTAAACACACCTTTTATACATTATTTTAAATAAATATAAATTATTGCAAGTTTTTTCCCTCCCAGAAAAAACTGGAGGATTTTTTTGCTAGATATCAAAGTACCTTCTATCAGACACAGCAAGGCCATCTTTCACAAGGAAAATCAATACAGGCATTTTTCAGCTGCCCTCAATTAAAATTATTATAAAGACATTTGCCTAATCTCACCTTCCTGACTCATAACTTCTGAAGGTTGTGGTTTGGTTTTAACTGAAATACACTGGTGATTGTTCAGAACTTTGTTATAAGAATGAGAAAACCAATTATGTTACTTCAATAGATAAAATTAACATTATTCCTAGAGACCATATTTTAGAAATCTCAGTCCTTACTGTTTAGTATTAATCATCTTTTAAAAAGAAAGAAAATTGATCCTGGTAAAATGTCATGTTTACATTTGAAGTGGTTGGTTTTGCCTTGTTCATTTTTTAAATTTTGCAGGGATGGGGTTGGTGGCTTATTGGAGGCAGAGCAGGTTCAGACACAAACCTCAAGCCCTGCTGATGCTTGTGGCTCTGGGAAGGTAGGAAGGACTTACAGCCTCTGAACCTCCTTTGCTTCTTCCCTAAACCATCAGACAGTTTCATGAGTGGTAACATGCCTAGAGTTTTGGGGCTTCCCAGGTGGCACAATGGTAAAGAATCTGCCTGTCAGTGCAGGAAATGCAAGACATGGGTTCAATCCCTGGGTCAGGAAGATCCCCTGGAGAAGGAAATGGCAACCTGCTCCAATATTCTTGCCTGGAGAATTCCATGGAGAGAGGAGCCTGGCAGGCTAGAGTCCAAGGGGTCGCAAAGAGTAGGATACGACTGAGCAACTTTCACTTACACTTACTATGGATGTAATGACTCACACAGCATATATCACGTGCTAGTCACTTTCCAAGGTACAAAACTGCAACCGAGGTCAAGACGGACCCATCCTCGGCCCTGTCAGCGCTGACACGTCTAGTGGGGAAGGTGGACACGCATCAGCTAATTCCTGCAGAGGGTGGCAGGTGTGACACTGAGCAATCCGGAATACCAGAGTGCCACTATGAGAGAAGGCCACCAACCGAGACCAGGGGCGTCGGAGGAAGTGGTGTCTGAGTGGAGAGGTGAGCAACAAGAGGGTGTTAGTGAGGTAAACGGGGAGATGGGGAGAGAGGAAGGAGGGAGCAGCAAGCACAAAGGCCCAGAGGCTAGGGAGCATGTGAAGTCTGAAGAAGCAGAAATTCAGGAGTGAATTATGAAAGCGGAGGGTCTGACCAGTCAGAGAAAGAAGTCTGGACTTTACCTTGACCATGAAAGGGAGACGACAAAGGGTTTCAGCAAAAGACCACTGAATACTGAAAAGATTCTTTCATCAGTAAAAAAAAAAAAAGTCAGACTTTTTACTGTCAGAAAAAAGTTTGCACAACGTGAGAGCTGAGAGTTAAGTTTTATTTGGGACAGATGCGGACAGGAGACAGCATTTCAGATAGCTCGAGAAACTCCTCCTAGGCTGCGAGAAGAGGAGCTAGGATAGATAAGTTTTACAATAAAGGGCAGGTAGTTTGGAACATCAAAAGATTACTGTTAATTAAAGAAACTAGATGTGTCAAGTTAAGGAATTTAGCACTTTTCTGTGTATGGGGAGATGCAAGAGTATGGGCTCACTGAAATCATGCCTTTGATATGCACCTCAGCTCTCTGGGGCCAGGATCCTGTATTTTCATATTCTGAGTTTCCTCAGGGCTCATCCTAGGGAGTGGCTGCAATCTGATGGCTGCTAGAAGGCAGGCAGTCTTTCCTTCCTGAGGCCCTCAGGGTTCATTGACTCACACTGCAGGGCTGCAGTCTGTTGACTGTGACATCCTTGTTTACTGACATGGCAGGAAATATCCCATTTCTCAAGACCATTGAAAATATATTAAGAAAGATGACTGAAGTAATCTAGCTGAATGATGGTCAGATGGTCTGAACTAGGTAATGACGGGAGAGAGTATAAACATGGATACAAGAGATCTTCATAGATCGTAGACTCATAGGACCTGATAATTGATTGGACGAGGGTGGTGAGGGAACAGAAGAACCACAGTGTAATTCCAGGAAGATGAGGGCCAAGAAACTCCTCAGGGAAGTCAGGCGCTAGATCTCCTCCCCAACCAGCTCCAATTAAAGTTTTTCTTTTCTCACATGAAGAAAATTCCATATTTCACTTAATTCTGAAAATTGGATGTTGCTTTCTTAAATTTTGTGAATGAAATGTAATTTAGCCAACATTAGGATTTTGCTTTCATCACAACACAAAAAGAATTAAAAGGAAAAAAAAACCCCACACCTAAACATACAGCATATGAAGCCTACAGATCATTAAAATACTTAACACAAATCCAAACAATTTGTCTTAAAGGACCCTCAGAGGGTGGACACAGTCAAGGGGCAGGAACCACAAAAAAGGATTTCATTTGGCACAAACACATTAACAGAAGCTGAAAGGTGCTCACAAATGAAAGGCATTTTCACAATGTTTGAAGACACACTTAGGAAAACCAACAAAGTTGGTCAAATTTTCCTTTTATTTTTTTTTGAAAGCTAGCCTAGCCGTTTAGTCTACTCAACTAAGCTCCAGCCCAGGCAGCTCACACAATCATTCCTGAAGCCCGAGGCACATCCCAGGGGGTGAGGGGTCAGGCAGTCAAAAAAAACACAGGACAGACTAAGAATGTCACACCCCGGGAAATGGATGTCTTTTCCTGAAATTCACATAAAATGGCTTAAGTCTTATCAGAATACGTCGTCTGCTTGGTTGTAGGACGTGTCTGATTCCACAACCCCGATATTTTCATAACTGTAGTTTCTATCATCAGAGGTAGTTTCACTTTTACTCTTCTTCCTTTTCAGCAGTTTTCCTTCCTGCAGGTCAGATGGTTCAAATATGGCACAACTCACGGTTTTGAGTCCTTTTGCAAATGGAACCTCCTCCCCAACCCGTTCAGCTGAATCTGAATGATGGGCTGGGGGCGGAAGTCTGTCACTCTGTAGCCTTTTTCTTATTTCTTCTTCTTTAGTCTGAAAAGCAGGGTTAAACGGTGAAAAAAGAGTCCAAGTAACTCTCTCCAAGTCCTCATTAATACTGCCTGTAACCATCATTCCTGGCTTCTCTATTTCATTATGCAGTCATTCAACAGAGGTTGAGGAATTACTATTGAAGGAGACAGACCCACCCACCCCCATACCCTCCAGACACTCTCAAGGAGCTATGGTCTAGTCCTTGCTCTTTGGGACGGCAACAAGAGACACGCAAGTACAGGCTGTCAGACAAAAGCAATGAAGGCTGGTTCCCAAAAGAGTGGCCAACAGAGCGTGAAGGGGACCATGCGTGTGTGAATGCTGCAGGCGTTGTCTGAGGTCTGCACAGCCTCCTCTCAGCTCCCATCCTCCAACCGACACCTCCTGCCACCCGGGGCCCCAACTGATGTTTCCTTCTCTTTTCTTAATAGGAAGAAAATATCACACTTAATTCTCAGAAGTAGATATTGCTTCCTTAGGCTTTATGGATGAAGCTGTAATTCGACCAAATTCAAGATGGTGCTTCATTTCTTCACCACACAAAGAGAACTTAAAAAAATTAAGTATACAGCATGGGAAGCATCAGGATCACTAAAAGAATTAATACAATCCATGCAATTTGTCTGAAAGCTGCCGATTAGAGAGGATGCGCTCATTCAGAGCAGCGCCCCTCACGTGAGAGCTGGGCTACCTTCCTGCGTGCCTCCACTGCCCGCATCTTCTCTTCTATGTCCTTCATCGTGAAATCTTTTCCTTCCTTCTTGATCTTAAGTTTTTTCAGCCTGGCTGGTGGCTTTCTCAGCGGCTTCTCGGTAGTGCTCACCTGGGGGAAGACACTTTTTAAAATGGGGAGATAAATGTATTCACTGGCAAAGAGAAACGCAAGAGAGAGTGAATAAACATTGTTTAAGGTGTTAGTCCTAAAAATCTAAACAGATTTTTGGATAGATTTGAAAAACAATGATGTGAAAACTGGTAAAAATTGAACTCACTCCTAAAGTCTTAATTCCTGCTAACAACAGAACTAATTCCTAAAGAAAAAATATCTACTGGATGTCTAGGAAAAAAAAAAAACAAACAGAAAACAAACATGAAAAAATGCAGATATGGAAGAAGGCTCATAAGAAGGAAAAAAAAGCCCTTAGAACACAAACAAGATGGGAGAAGGTGGCAAATGAATGCTGGATGCATTTGTAATTCAAGGTAAAAAGTTAAACCCCATGATTTTTTAATATTCCACAAGCAACAAAAGACTTTCATTTGGGATTGAGATTAGTGTTAGAACTTTTGGTCTTATGGAGGAGAGGTTTAACAATCACTGCAACTCTGCTCTGCACTGGGCTTTGCTGTTGGTTCTTTCCACATGTTTTCATGACAACAGAAAAAAAACCCATACTATTTACTATGAGGGTTTCCCAGGTGGCGCCAGTGGTAAAGAACTGCCTGCCAATGCAGGAGACATAAGAGACATGGGTTCTATCCTTGCGTCAGGAAGATCCCCTGGAAGCGGGCATGGCCACCCACTCCAGTATCCTTGCCTAGAGAATCCCATGGAGAGAAGCCTGGTGGGCTACATACAGTGCATGGGTCGCAAAGAGTCGGACATGACTGAAGTAACTTAGCATGCATGCACATCTCCTATGACTGGCCATCGTGTCTATAGTTTACAGCACTGAAAATGACTTTATCATTTCTAGTTATTAAAGAAGGTTAAACTGCTGTAGAGGGTTTGCAAAGAAAGTTTAATTTTTTAAAATAATATACCTTGGTTATGAAAAATTAAAATGATACATAAATAGTCCCCTAATTCTCTGTTTAGGGGATCCAACCAGTCCATCCTAAAGGAAATCAGTCCTGAATATTCATTGGAAGGACTGATGCTGAAGCTGAAACTCCAACATTCTGGCCACCTGATGCGAAGAGCTGACTCACTGGAAAAGACCCTGATGCTGGGAAAGATTGAAGGCAGGAGGAGAAGGGGATGACAGAGGATGAGATGGTTGGATGGCATCATTGACTCAATGGACATGAGTTTGAGTAAACTTCGGGAGTTGGTGATGGACAGGGAGGCCTGACATGCTGCAGTCCATGGGGTTGCAAAGAGTTGGACATGACTGAGCAACTTAACTGAACTGAACTGAATCCTCTGTTAACCAGCTGGCCCTTGAATGCATTCATCAGCATGAGTTTGGTGTGGGTCTTTCCAGATATTCTCTGTGCTCATATTGCCATTCCCTTCTCCAGGGGATCTTCTCAACCCAGGTGTCTAATCTGGGTCTCCTGCACTGCAGGCAGATTCTTTACCATCTGAGCCACCAGGGGAACCCCATGCCCATACATCTATATACATATATTAATATATTCACAGTGCATCTGTCATGTCCAGCCACTCAATGAAATTATACTATATACAACCCACTCCAGTATTCTTGCCTGGAGAATTCCATGAACAGAGGAGTCTGGCAGGCTGCAACCCATAGAATCACAACAAGTTGGGGACAACTAAACTAACACAACTAAGCAACTAACACACTAACTTGTTTTATTGCAGTAGCCTGGAACTGAATCCACAGTATCTCCAGACTAGGTAGTTGCCCTGCCTATATATATTGTATAGGTATACAATAAAACCCTTATATATTGTTTTAGTTAATTTCTCTAAAGACTTTTAAAGACAAAGGAGCTATTGATATTCATTTTCATATCTTAAAGACTGTGTCTTCAGATTGCAAGATGGTAGTTACTGAGAAGATAAATCTCACAAACACAGACAGTTCAGCACAGCAGGAAGAGCACCAGACCCAGGCTCGCACAGCCTGGGGTTTGAATCCTGGCTCAGTCACGGTGTGGCTTTGCACAAACTCGTAAACTCTGTAGGCTTTCCCTTACTCATTTGTGAAATAGGTTTAGTAATACACGTTTCAAAATCTTTGTTTTTATAAAAGCAAAGCATGCAATAGCCGCTCGATAAACGGTGATTACTTTTTATTCAGTGAAAGCATGGACTTTGTTCAATGACAGCACACGGAATCACACCAAACACAGTACTTATCAAGAAGGGGACAAATGAGATAGAGAAGCTCGGAGGAGGCAGGCAGGGGTCCTGGGCTCTATTTCATCCCGAGTCTACCACTGCTACCCACTGGGTGACCTGACACAAAGCATTTTGTCTCTCTGGACTCACTTTTCTCAAAATTATACGATAGACGCTGCCTTGCAATCTGCTGAGGATGGCTAAGGTTCCTTCCAGCTTTAAAATCTATGATTCTTGGAAAGCCTTTTAGAAGGAAAACACTTATTAACGTTTTGGCTCAGTTGCAGCCTTCAGACAGTTTTATGTGGTGAGAAATTGTGCACTGCAGGAAAACTGGGAGATGTTTGTCAAAGCAAGTTCCCCTCCCCCACTCTTGCTTTATTTTTGTATGACCATTGGCTTTTAGGCTCCCTGCTGGCGAAAGCCATCTGCTGAAAAGACAGATATGCTTGCTATGGGGGCTCAACTAAAGATACTGTAAAATTAGAAGACAGTTTTTTAGGGACATTCACTCAGAGACGGCTAAGGAGAATATGATACAGTCATCTAAAATCCAATAAACAAAGGGTCCTTCAGGCTTACACAGGATCTGAACCTTGATTTAAGTGAGGAGATCAACAGTTTCCAGAGATCTTGGACTGTCTGGTTTGGGTGGACTCTTCTTGTGGCTTTATCCAAAAATGACTCTTAAGAAATCATGTGCTTCCTACCCCTTGTGGAGGTTAATCCTACCTGGGCAACCCCTGTCTTTTCTTGAGTTTGACATTTTAAAGAAAAGCCTTCAAAGACCTGAGAAAATCTATCTGTATTCTTTACCACTGGATTTTGTGAAGTCAGGAGTTAATCAACTATCATTCTGTATCATTTATCAAAAATGATAGCATTATATGATCACATTATACCCAGAGAGCTACCCATAGAAACCATACAAAAAATCAGCTTCAAAACCTATAGAAGTTATTAGTTCAACAATTTTCTTTAAGAGAAGCAGCAGGGGATGGCATGCCCAAAGATGCTGTAATAAATTGAGGGGTCTTGTTTCTAGCCAGCCTACCTTGTATACATTACTTCTGGCATCCTCCGAACTTTTCTAGTTAACTATTGACCGACAAACTTACTTTCGCTATACTCCCTTAGTGAGAGTCTTGTGCATAAAGTAAGGCAGATTCTCAGAAGAGATCTGTCATTCCTGCTCATTGTTAAAACCTCCAAGACAGTCATTCTGAGCGTGAACTGCCATTATTTTGTCTTTATCTGGTCAACTTCCTCCCCTTTAAAAAAACTCCCCATGAGGTTCAACAATGTTAGAAACTCTGATAAGGTGTCAACAAATTCCCTAACAGTATTGAAAGTTATCAAGGACAGGAGTTGGCTTGAAATGGGAATCATCTTGGACCAGAGATAGGAGGACTCAACAGAGAACTGAGGGCCTTGTGCAGGAAAACCCAGGATGGGAGAAATGAGTTTGGGATAAAAGAATCTTAAGTGGATAATGGGTTTCCTTGGTAGCTAAGTGGTAGAGAATCTGCCTGACAATTCAGGAGACTCAGGTTCGAGCCCCTGGAGAAGGAAATGGCAACCCACTCCAGAATACTTGCCTGGGAAATTCCATGGACAGAGGAGCCTGGTGGGGTTCCTTTGGGGTTGCAAAGAACTGGACATGACTTAGAGACTCAGTTAACAGTCAGTTCAATCACTTAGTCGTGTCCAACTCTTTGCCACCCCATGGACTGCAGCACGCCAGGCTTCCCTGTCCATCACCAACTCCTGGAGCTTGCTCAAACTCATGTCCATTGAGTCGGTGATGCCATCCAACCACCTCATCCTCTGTTGTCCCCTTCTCCTCCTGCCTTCAATCTTTCCCAGCATCAGGGTCTTTTCTAATGAGCCAGTTCTTCGCATCAAGTAGGCAAAGTACTGGAGTTTCAGCTTCAGCATCAGTCCTTCCAATGAATATTCAGGACTGACTTCCCTTAGGATGGACTGGTTGACTTAGTGACTAAACAACAACAAAATGGATAATACCTATGTGGATAAATGAGAGCCAATCCCATCTCTTTAAAGAGATCTGTACCAAGGCATACACATATTTACATGTGTACATAAAACCAGTTTACATTTATAATACAATCACTGGAGTCTCAGGAGAATGCTTTAAAATGTACCAGATGATTCACTTGGTCTGATAATTTAGTTTCTTTTTTTTTTTTTTTAAATTTAGCTTCTTAACATTGTATTTCTTACATATCGTTATAATTCTGAGTGAGCGTAACATCTATTAATATGAATATGCTTTCAGGCAGGTTATCCAGGAATGGACATAGTACTGGCTAAAAAGTAGATGATGAAAAAAATTGAGAAAAAATTGAGGTACTTCCCTGATGGTCCAGTGGTTAAGACTCTTCACTTCCAAACAAACAAAAAGAAAATGAATGGGAGTCCCTGGATAAAGACACACCTGTGGACCTCTCAGAAGAGACTACGTCATAGGGGAGTCCCCTTTTCAGCATCCTCTGTTCTATTTCACTCTAAAGGATAATGGAATTAAAGATAACAACCTGGCTAAGGCGGGGCCAGATCTACGTCTAAAATTCCCTTATATTTTTAAGTAACTATTGGTCTGCTTAAGAAGTCTTATTTTTAAAGTATTCTCACATTTACTGTTCTGTTTTTTTTTTTCTCATAATATTTCATTTAAAGTTTTTTTTTTTTTTTAAGCCCCCAGTGAAGAAATGGTGTTTACATGTCTGAATCCAACCTATTGTAGTACCGACTGACACTAACATTGCCTTTTTTTGGGACTATTCCCTTTTTGTTTCCTTTGGCTCTTTGTTTCTTAGTTAAAAGTATTAACTGTCTCATGATATTTTCATTCTTAATATGGTTCCCCTTTAGTCCTTCAATATTCATTCTCATCTTTTTACATTGGCCTTATAACTTTCCCCCAGATATTCAAGATCTCTGGTGTCTGACACACACATTCACAGCTACACATGAATTGAAAGAGACTTCACCCGTGACCCTGAGCAATTATATCTCTTCATTTCCATTTGCTTCCTAGGTACCATCTCAGTCCTCTAGTGAACAGATGCTCTATTTTCTGGAATATTTTAGGACTTCCTTTCAGGATGAATGGGGGAATTTCAGTTTCAAAAGCTTTAACCATTCCCAGCTTGATCATGAATTTGAGGGCTTGGTGTACACCTTTATTGACACTTCAGGGCAGTACTTCTCAACCTGGGCTGCTCAGGAGGACCCTGGGAGCTTTCAAAGAACCACATTCTGGGGCCCAGCCTCTGCCACTGGTCCCAGGAGTTCTGAAAGCTTCCTGGGTGATGTGAATGTTCGGGTTAAGGACTGTGCTAGGTAATAAGATGCATTACCATTCTGACCTGTTGTAAGTCTGGCTTTTGTTGGACATCTTGGCCCAATTTCAAACCAAAAAAAAAACAACAACAACACTAAACTGTGTTATTCTTGCTTACCTCTGCAGTCCTGTCACATTTAAATCCTTCTGAGAACACTCCAACTATGCTCCCTCACCATTCCATTTCTGCATAATACAAATACAAATTCAGCCTTCATCTTTGGTTCTCTTAATGATGTTATTGAAAGTCAAGCCTGTAGTTTTCATTTTTTAATAGATACGCCTCTTTCATGATGTAGCTTATATTAATTAACCTTGCTGGTGCCCTAGTGAGGTCTGAGTCTGAATTCATTCATCTCGAGCATTAGAATCACTGAAAAATATTTTAATGCTACTCCCACTGGTGTGAGCATCAAGGGACCACAGCATCTCTCTTCAGAAGGCATTGCTTAGTTACTGAATGTCCACACAATCTATCTTCCTCCAGATGGCTCTCCTGTCTTTTTTTTTTGATCCACCTTTTATTTTCTGATTCTCCAGAGATTCATCTATAGTGAGAAAAAAATCTCTCCTAGCCTTTTCCATATTAAAGACACATCATTTTTTAGTACATTGAAGTAAGATAAGGTACTCCAAAATGCCCTGTATCCTGATAGCTGGCCTTATACAAATGTAAATTGTCATTATGTTGGCATCATTTTTTCCATCATATGGTCCATTTTTACCTTCCCTCACTTCCTCCTATTATTAGCAGCTTGATAATATCATTCATAAGGCTTAACAATCTCTTTCCATTTGCTGAATACTTTCTGTAGCACTTATTTTTTCCTTCTTTGAAAGAAAATGCCATGTTGGCTTTTATTCACGAGTTCTCAGCAAGTCCCACACACAGAGAAGGAAATTACTTTTACTGAAATACTAACTGACTTAGTGACTTAGTCTAGGTGGCAAACTTGATCTCAATAATGAATCTTTTTATTCCCTATTGATTGTTTTCCCTACAACAAAGGATACTGGCCACCACTGAGGCGGCTTTGATATAATTTCAGGCCTCAATTTCCATCATTTCAGTTTCATTCTTTGCTTTCTTATTCATTTTCCCTTAGGCCTCTTTTCTGTGTTATTTCATCTTTTTATCTTCTTTTTCCCTCTGTCTATGCTTTAGGATTACAGGTACTGCTGGGAGTAGTGACTTAAAAAGAAACCCAAACAAACAAGAGAACTAAGCAAAATAACACCAAGCCTGCTATCCTCACCACAGGTTTGCAAAGAACTTAATAAAAAGTGAAGAACTCAAGACTTTGACCACAACCAGTTAAAATCAGGCTAAAACAAACTGCTCACACTACAGAAAAATAATGATTGATTAGTTAAGGTGAACTGACAAAGAAAAATAGGGTATAACAATTTTTATCATTTCATTTTATTTCTTCATGATTGACCTCTAGGTGGGTATATAAATGATAAGCATATCTGCTTTAGCTTTGGTATTTAGGCCTATTTTCTTATTGGCTAAGCCAGCGTTCAGTTCTATATTCACATACCTGATACAGAGGCAACGTTTAACAAAAATTGCTGAAAGAAGGAAGGCATTTTATTCAGTGGGTCTTAGGTTTCAAGTTTGGTAAAAACCCAAGATATGTCTTATTGGATTCATTAATCATTAATGATCAGGCAATTCCTGAATCCATAGAGAAGGATGGTGTGTGGAAGGGTGAGGGAGTTAATGGGAGGAAAAAACTGGCTAAGATAAATGCTATAGTATAATCTGTATTGTGACACTAAGATGCATATTGCTGGAAAAAATAACTTGTGATCAGTCATATCCTGTTGCTATCTTTAACTATGTAGGCCATGCTGAGTCACTCAGTCATGTCCAACTCTTTGTGACCCCATGGACTGTAGCCCACCAGACTCTTCTGTCCTTGGAATTTTCCCAGCAAGAATATTAGAGTAGGTTATCATTTCCAGGGGATCTTCCTGATCCAGGGATCAAACCTGAGTCTCTTGAATCTCCTGCACTGGCAGGCAGATTCTTTAGCACCAAGCCATCTGGGAAGCTCATTTTTCCTATAAGTTAGTGTTAATTACAAAATTACTTGCCATGACATCATATGATTCTCCATTTCTAAATACTTTGCTGTGGCTCTGTATTATTCCTTGAACAATTAACTCCTCCAGAATGTCTGATGACTTTTGTCGCTCTCGATTCTCTAAGGGTTGGGGTTTATGGATTAATCCATTGATCGCTAGGTCTTCCAAAGGAAAAGAAAAAGAGAAAGTGAAATTCAAGCACAATGATTTTATCAATCAAATGCTAAATACATGCTTTGTAAATCATGCTAAATAATTAATTCTTAGTCTCAACACTTGTACCTAAATATGTTTCTATTACAAGTCTTTATAATCCTTTGAAGTTCAAATCCTTAATGTTCTTACAGAGGATAGTATCAACATAATATAATGTTTACTTAGCAGGTTGGAATATTAACATAAGAAAAAAGTCTTTCATGTGCTGCTATATACTACATTTTTGTTGTAACAACACATATACACTTGGGTACGATCACACGGGTTCTGTGCAATAATTATGAAGCTAAACCACAGGCACAAACGAGATAGTCTTTCAGTGACTCTCACGAGTTGCAGTTTGGTTTCTATGCTTTGTATACAAAGGATAAACAGCGTGATGTTGCCAAGAGACTTCTAGTTCTGCAACCCTGAGTTTACAATTACGCCATCTGCTAAATCTACATAAGTAAAAGCATGCCTTTTTGAAAAGAGTCTTTGAACCAAATCAGAATTGGAGTCAAGTGGTAGCTAAGTTTTTATCAGTGATTCTAAAAATGGCACAGAAACAGTTTATAATGGAGCACTAATGAGAGGGACCGCCCCATTACACATCACCCAATTATATAAGTAAGCAAGGAAGCATCCGTTTTCACAACCTCATAAAATAAAGGTGCAGTGAGGGGTCATTGGAAATGAGCTCTCAGGACTTCCCTGGTGGTCCAGGGGTTAAGACTCCGTGCTCCCAGTGCAGGGGGCATGGGTTTGATTCCAGGTCAGGATACTGCAAGCTGCACAGTACAGCCAAAATAAATTAAATAAATAGTCTCTAGCCACTGACACTTTAAAAAAATGAAAGAAAGAAATGAGCTCTCTTGTATTTTAAGAAGCTCTTTCCATCCAGTGGATGAAGTCTTTTCACGAAAATTTCTAACATCACTGTTTAACGAAGACAGTTTTCATGAATTTGTAATGGGCAGATAGGAAAACCTCCCAGACACACACACACACACACACACAAACCAGCTGTCTCTCACTCCAGAATATTAACCTTCTTGAAATTTTTAACAAATATACTCTGTAGCTGTGAAGAGCAGGGATGCAGAGAGGAGACAGAGAGGAAACTGTGTACATACTAAGTCGCTTCAGTCGTGTCTGACTCTTTGCGACCCCATGGATTGTAGGCCACCAGGCTCCTCTGTCCGTGGGGTTTCCCAGGCAAGGATACTGGAGTGGGTTGCCACCTCCTTCTCCAGGAGAATCTTCCCACCCTAGGGATCGAACTCACGTCTTCTGTGTCTCCTGCCTTGGCAGGTGGATTCTTTATCACTGTGCCACCTGGGAAGCCCCAGAGGAAACTGGGATGAGAACAAATAGAAAGCTCAGGGCACTGGTTGTATTCAACCTGTGGGAAGCTCTTCCCTGAAAACAAATTGGTACTGCATTTTGAAAACACCTGCTTTTGTGGTTCAGCCCCTCACCCGCTGGTCTCTCTCTCCTGCCTTCCCGGGGCTTCCCTCCCCACACAGCTCTCAACAGAGTATACAGATGGCAGGACTGCCTGTCCGGAGGTACCCAGGTCCCTGTCCTCCTGACGATCTGTAGTCTGTTAATACGTGGATAGTGAGTGTTCGTATTGCAGTCTAGGAGGGATTCTCAACAGAATTATCAGAGAGAAAAAACACATGTGCTGGCCCAACACGGGGGGGGGGGGGAGCCCATTTCTGCCCTGCTTCCCCTACCCCTCCCTCATCCTTAGAGGTCATGCTACACAGTGTCAGAAGCACAAGATGAGGAGCAATGTGAAACCTGTGCTGGACTTAGCGAATATTACGCTTAGTGAAATATCAGACACAGAAAGACACAGACTATACAATATCACTTACATGTGGAATCTAAAAAATAACACAAACAAATGTATATGCAAAACGGAAACAGACTCACAGATATAGAAGACACCTAGTGGTTACCAAAGGCGAGAAGGAAAAGAGTAGGGGCAAGATAGAGGGAGGTAGGTGATGAAGAGATACAGCCTACTATGCATAAAGCAGATAAGCAACAAAGATGTATTTTACAGCCCAGGGAATTATAGCCATTATCTTGTAATAAGTTTTAATGGCACATATAATCTGTAAAAATACTGAATCCCTATGCTGTACTCCTAAGACTAATACCATATTGTAAATCAACTATGCTTCAGTTTAAAAGATAAATAAAATGGGCATTAAAAAATGGTTTGTCATAACCCAAGTTGCCACAAAAGTCCAAGTAAAAGAAAGTCACTTACTATCCAAACTATTTTCCAACTCTAACTGGTTCCTAGGGAAGAAACTATGGGAATGAGGAATGAAATGAAAGCTTTCCCCTTTGAATAAAAGAGAGTACTCTTCCTGGGAGTCTGATAAGTTCAATTTGTTTTAAAGGCTGAAGAAATATAAATAACAGCTCTCAACACCAGAAGGTAGCTCAAGTAAAGTGAAAACACACCATTAAAAAAAAAAAAAGCCCACTAACAGTTTCTAAAGAACACACTAGGTAAAAATTATGTCTTTGATGTTTTTGGAAGATACTTTTACGATATATCTGCTGATAGCTTTGAATGGGGAGAGACAGGAGAAGTAGTGTGATGTAGGTTTTACTAGTTTTTTAAATGTACAACTCTGCCTTGGAAAGATGTTAGTATGGTGGGAGTTTTGAGGAATTTAACTAAAGCCTGGGCAACTCCTATTCCCAAGGCCTTATCCAACCACCAATAAAAGCTCTTAGTTTTTTTAATTAACTGATTAATTAGGCTGCGCTGGGTCTTAGATGCGGCACGTGGGAGCTTCCACCTTAGATGCAGTATGCAGTTTAGTTGCAGCACGTGGGATCTAGTTCCCTGACGAGGGATTGAACCCAGGCCCCCTGCATTGGGAGTTCGGAGTCAGCCACTGGACCACCAGGCAAGTCCTAAGGGCTTTTAGTTTTAAATAAAAAAGAAAGTATTAATTATGTCATCAACAAAATTTTTAGTATCTTATTAACTCATGATGTGAGTAAGTAATGGTTAGTATTACTCACATAATGAAGGCCTAAGGCCAACTCCTAATGTCTTAGTGATGGGACCTTATCACTGGAAGCACTGCCTGGAACACAAAAAGCAGTGATGTGAGTCCCCAAACACACATGATAAAATGTATTCAGAGAAACAGTATTTTACAGAGATCAACACGTACGGGGATCGTTACCTGAATTTAGTCTTCCATTTCTTTCACTAGGAGATGGGAAACTTTCTGCAATAGCTCCAGGTAAGCTTCCCAACTGGGCCTGCTTGTCCAGGTCTCCGGGGCTGCCCGTAGCATCATCGGGCAGTGAAGTTTCAATCTGGGGTCTGTAATTCTCCCCAGAATGAGCCACACCAACATCAGCCTGTGAAAAGGGAATGGCTTTGTGAGAGTCAAGACTTCTTAGAAAATGGTTTCTTTTAAAAAATTTTATGGAAGTACAATTGATATGCAATTTTTTGTTTTTTTAAATTTATTTTTATTTATTTATTTGTCTGCACCCGGTTTTAGCTGCGGCATGTGGGATCTTAAATCTTCGTTGCAGCATGCAGGATCTTTAGTTGCAGCAGTTGAAGTCTTAGCTGTGGCATGTGGGATCTAGTGCCCTGACAAGGGATTGAATCCGGGCCCTCTGCATTTGGAGTGTGGAGTTTTAGCCACTGGACCACCAAGAGAAGTCCCAGAAAATTGTTTCTTGGAAAATGAAAATGTCACAGGGTCTGCTTTATGAATATTTAGTCAACTGGTTATCTGTGGGAGGCTGAATAGTACCCAGCAACCTGTCGATGTGACCTTTTAAGGCAAAAGGGACTTCTCGGGTGTGATTAAATTAAGGACTTTATGATAGCAGGAGTATCCTGGTTATCCAGGGAGTTCTGAATGTAATCACAGGTGTCCTTAGACAAGGGAGGCAGAAGAAGATACGACTGCAGAGAGGGAGATGGTGATGTGATGTCAGAAGCAGGACACAGTTGAAGATGCTGCAGTGCCAGCAGCCAAGAAACGCAGCTCTAGAAGCTGGAAAAATCAAGGAAAATGTCAGTGAGAAGATGCTTGAGTTGGGTCTTTATGAATGAGTTTCCAGTTGTTGTTTAGTCGCTAAGTCATGTCCAAATCCTTTGCGACCCCACGGACTGTAGCCTGCTAGGCTCCTCTGCTCATGGGACTTCCCAGGCAAGAATACTGGACTGGGTTGCCATTTCCTTCTTCAGGGGATTTTCCTAACCCAGGGATCGAACTCAGGTCTCCTGCATTGCAGGCAAATTCTTTACCACTGAGCCACCAGAGAAGCCCAAAGTCTCCAGACAGAAGGGGAAAAGGTCATTCTAGACACAGGAAGAGTACGCAGGACGATGGGATGTGAAACAACATGCTCAGAAACTTGAATTATTCCAGTTCAGCAGAAATAGACTGAGGTAGAAAGTGGTAGCTGCTGAGGTAGGAAAGTCTTTTGTGACAAGTAGACACATGCCATTTTGTTTTGAAGGCAACAGGAATCCTTTGTAGGCTTTCTATACATGGTAGTAAAATAAAGTGATCAGGTGTGATTTTTAGAAAAATTGCTCTTGGGTTAGTGCACACGGCAGGAGTGGAGGGAAGGAAGGGACAGAATGGGGTGACCAGGTATGAGGACTGCAACTGTCCAGGTGAGACTGGATTAAACAGGAGCTGGCACCCTGGCCGTGGAAGTGGGGGAAAGAGTGGGCCCCGGAATATTAGAAAGGAGGGGTAACAGACCTGTCAGATCTTCAGTTTAAAGGAGGGAGGCCCCTTCTGGCTCTAAACTATGACTCTAGGGACCAAGCAGAAAACATTCCCTCTAGGAAAACAATAAGAATCCAGGACATCAGCATAAAACTCTTGGTTGTTGTTGTTTAACAACAACATCAGTCATGTTGGATTCTTTGCGAACCCATGGACTGCAACATGCCAGGCTACCCTGTCCTTCACTATCTTCTGGAGTTTGCTCAAACTCATGTCCATCGAGTTAGAGATCCAACCATCTCATCCTCTGTTTCCCCCTTCTCCTCATGCCCTCAATCTTTCCCAGCATCAGGATCTTTTCCAGTGAGTTGGCTCTTGGTACTTTCACAATAAAATTTAAAAAAAAATACCAATTTTAACAAGTTGAGTCCATCTGACCACTTTCTGGAAGCATTCCAAAGCTCCCTCAGAGGTTAAGGAGGAACCACCATTGATAGGTTGAGGACCCCCGTCATCCACAGGTTCTCATAATTCTATTAGCCATTCTTGTATGTTCTGTTAGTAGGGAGACTCGCATTGCTTATCATCCTGTTTACGGAACACGATCACTCCAGCTAAACCAACATCAGTTCATTATGTTGAGAGCTAATTAGTTCTGTGGTTCAGAACTACACGAGAAAATATGATAAACCAACCAACTCAACAAACAAAGAAGTAAGCAACGAACAAAAACTCAACAGTCCTGAAATACGACTCAGCTCAAGGATAAAGGGTGAGAACAACTACAGGCTTTTCTCTTTGTCTCTTCACCTCTTTCTTCTCAGACTCAGTTACTGTGCATAGAGCCCCTGAATAGTAAGCTGACCCAGGAAAAGAGTCTTTATATATAACATATTCCATGTTATGTTATTAAATAATAACAGTCATGTTTTATCAGACAGGGCCTCCTTTTCCTTTGTTATATGAAATATATATACATAGCTATAGGTATACATATCTCATATTATATTTATATTTCATGTAACAGGAAAAGAAGACCCTGTATGATGTTTATCTTTAAGGGGCTCACAGTTCACATGGAAGGTAAAGATTATATCCAGCATTCTTGCTCCTCTTGCCAAATGAACTATTAAAACCCAAGACCTGAAGTGATAGCAAGACAGATATTTTTACAAGTTCCTTTTGTTTCACAGATCCATCATTTTTTGAACATAGCAAACCACTGAGTTACACATGGGGACTGATTTTGCCATTTAAGATTTCCCAGGGGAGATCCTGAAACGGGGAACTGATTTAACAGCAACAACAACAAAAGAAAGCAAATGCCCACGCTGGAACTGAGAGCAAGTTTGAATGTTTTCAGCCTAACACGTGGCTTTTCACAAAGATATCTGTCAACTACAAGTCAGAATAGATTTAAATGCCATACAACCTCCCAATTGTTTCATCAAAGCAGCTCATGCAGGCCTGAGCAAGGATCTTTCCCATTTATGCTTATTTTAATACAGTCTGCCTTCAAGCTCTGTCAGTGACCAAAACTCAAATTGTAGCCAATGAAACACAATCTTCCACCATAAAAGAACATATAGCAACAGCCTTCAGTTTCTAGAGCAGAAATTTGAGGTTTTTCTCTTCTGCAAACCAACAATGTCTTTCAAATATCTTATCTATGTGCAATACATTCTGGAAGTTTTAACACCCAATTTCATAATCTAGACTTGAGAAAAATGTAGTTCAAAGACGAGAGATATTTACAAATTAATTAGATCTATGCCTCATGGGGATATGGTGTAGACAGTTTTCCTGGTCTGTCTATGCATGCAGAGTTTATATTTTCACACCAATAAGAAGTCTAACTGTAATGGTATGGGGGTGGGGAGGCGGGTAGAAGGTTTTATTTTTTCCTTGAGATGAAGTTGTAGCAGAAGTACAGATCAATGTTTCCATATTTTGTATCAATTTTATTTTATGCTTCATTGTCTTGGGGATAAAAATCTACCAATTTTAGACAGAAGTGAAAAGCTGTGAATTCCAAAGTAACAGCTATGCATGGGAATTATCAGCATCCCAAGAAAGGTAATAATTTTAACTATAGAAAGGTGTTTTGTTTGTGGGTTGGTTGGTCTGATGACATTATATGTTGTGTTCTAATGCTTTGTGGAAACAAATTTGACAAACAGTTTGGAAGGAGAGAGTCATCTGTCATAGTTCCCTGGAGCTGAAACCTTCCTAAATCAAATTATTGGCAGATAATTGATAAATGTATTTGTCTGTAAACATATGGGAAGAATTTTTCTTGTCAAATTTTTATTTTCTCTAGTTTACTCAAATAAACATAATAATAAATAGCAACCCTGAAAAACATTATCTTGAATATTCAGTGGAAGGCCTGATGCTGAAGCTGAAGCTCCAAAACTCTAGCCACCTGATACAAAGAACTGGTTCTTTGGAAAAAACCCTGATGCTGGGAAAGATTGAAGGCAGGAGGAGAAGGAGATGACAGAGGATGAGATGGTTGGATGGCATCACCAAGTTGATGGACATGAGTTTGAGCAAGCTCCGGGAATTGGTGATGGACAGGGAAGCCAGGCGTGCTGCAGCCCATGGGGTCACAAACTGAGACACGACTGAGCAACTGAACTGAAATGAATCAAAAATAACTAGAAATATAAGTTTTTTTTTTTTTAATGCACTTTAAAAAGTTAACTCCCTTTACTGATGACAAACAAGAATTTTCCTGTCAAAGTTTAGGGGAAAACTGTAAAGGATACTCAGAAATCATTTATTCCAATCTAGTCTCTCCCCTTTTATATAAGGCAAGAAACTTTGAGTTGATCACATGGAAGAAGAGCATTTCTTCTAAGAACAGTTTCCCATGCTTTCTTTATTATGTATTATTTTATTACCACATCTTCTTGCCACTTTAAGGTACAGTGAGCAGAAAGTCGGCAGTCAGATCTCAAGAAGTTTGATTCAGAATATTTTAAAGTCAGGCTGCTAAGAAACATAAATATTTCAGGCAAGCAAACGTGTTCATCTCATTTAAAAGACACTGCATAACTAGGGAACTCTCAAGCCCTATGCATTTATGAAGGTAAAAAAAGTACTGTTCTGATAGCCAAAGAGTATTTAGTTAATAATTACACTTTTCCCAGATTGGATTTCCAAAGTCAAACGTTTGGAGTGGGGAGAGTCAAGTCCGAGTCTATTTTCAGGTCATTTTCATACTGAATTTCCTCCTTGCTGACTGTCATTAGTTCACTCACGCTCCTAGGAGACAAGAAGAGGCTAAGGAATCTGAGGAGCTCATGTCAGCATCAGCTTTACATGCAGTCACCCCAAAACATTCATCAATGTTTGCTCTGCACCAGACACTGTGGTGAGCCCTGGAAACTAAAAGACAAAAAACAGTTCTTTTCTTCAGTAATATCTTCGGATGGGAGGCTAGCACGGAAAGAAATAAGCACAATAGATGTTTTGAAATATGATGGAAGAAGGTACAAGTTTCACTATGCCAGCATGGGGGGAAGGGGAGGGTTACGGAGGAGAGTGGTCTTGAGTCATCTTGAAACCTGGGGGCGTATCTGCCTGTGGTCCAGGAAGATGTAGAAGGTGGAGCTGAAGGAAAGAGGCTGTGGGGGCAAAGGTACAGAGGTAGGAACAGAATGGGTTTGGGGAACCCGTGGTGAGGTTTGATTAGAACAGGGAAGTAGGGAGAGATGAAACTGGGGCATTTGACCAGCATCAGCTTGAGGGTGGCTGGTAAGGTGTGCTAAGAACTTCGTGTTTTATCTCACATAAATAATTGTAATAATAGCGATTGCAATAACTAACATTAATAGTGACTGTAATAACTAATAGTTGTAATAATAGTGATTACAATAATTAATATTAAGTGACTGCAATAACTAATAATTGCAGTAACAGTGATTGCAATAACTAATATTAAGTGCATATCCTGTGCCAAGCTCCTGTATGAGCACTTAATGTGAACTAAATTCATTTATTCCTCCCAGCAACTCTACAAAATAACTATCATTACTTTCATTTTACAAAAAAGGAAGCCAGGGCACAGAGAGGTCAAATAACTGGACCCAAGTCACACAGCTGGTAAGTGGTGAATCCAGAAATGAAACCTAGCTAGTAACACTCTTGACCATCGGTGGACGTGCCTACCTAGAGGGTCAGTGAATTTTTTCTAGCAGAGAATGGACATAATCAGATTTTATTTTAGAATGATCCTTCTGGAGGTCACGTGGAAGACTGGAGCCACAGAGCAGGTGGAAGCTGGTTGTGAAGGAAGCACCCAGGGAGACTAGTTAGGAGTGTTGTACAAAAATCCAGGCAAGGGGCAATGACTGTCTTACCCAGGAAAGGTCAGGAAGAAACCCAGAACCCCTCCCCAGCCTTGGGAATGCTTGGTCCAAAGGGACCCAGTGTATTTGACACTTGGAGACGATTGCTTTTCAGCACTCCTCCTCTATAAAAAAAAAAGTGAAGTCGCTCAGTTGTGTCTGACTCTTTGCGGCCCCATGAACTGGGGCCTACTAGAATCCTCCGTCCGTGGGATTTTCCAGGCAAGAGTACTGGAGTGGGTTGCCATTTTCTTCTCCAGGGGATCTTCCCGACCCAGGGATCGAACCCGGGTCTTCCACATTGTAGGCAGATGCTTTACCATCTGAGCCACCAGGGAAGTCCCATGTATATATATACATAATATATAACCATTCAGTAATAACCATGAGATGGGACAAATGATAATGGCCAGAAAACAAACAGTAAAAATTTTCTTCTACTGAAGTCTTCTATGTAATCATGCCAGTAAAAATAGATTTTAAAAGATTTTTGTACCAAAAAAAAAGGAAAAACAGAATGGATTAGTACTTTAAAGTCACATTAATATATTTTTGGGAAAAAGAGAAAAAAAGTATTATTGTTATTCCCCAACAGTGATGAATAACAAAGATGATCAAATTGCTCCCAAGAAGTCCATAAATCTATGAGGGCAAAGGAGCTTTAAACAAACATCTACCATGTAATAAGGGAGTGTCACAGTGTTTGGGCAATGGGGCTTGGGTTCAGTGTGGAGGGACAGGTAGGAGTTCATCAAGAGGACCAGGAATGGGGCCCAGGGAAGATATTTCAGGAAGTGGGAATGGCAAGGGGGAAAGGCACGGAGTGTGATGAAGCCTAGAAGAACTGGGCACTGTAGCTTCTTGGCCTGGCAGACGAATGCGAGGGACTGGTGAGGAGAGGGTGATATCAGAGAGACTGATGAGACCAAATGTAAACTTTTACACAACAAAGGCAACTTTTTCTCAGGAAGATAGGTGGCAGTGTGGAAGACAGACTGGCTAGGGTGGTGATGATAGAGGCAGAAAGACCCAGTAAGAGGCAAAAGTTTCCTAAGAGGGAGTCCCCCCGGGGGACCAAGCCTAAGTCCCAGCCTTTGTATTTACACACAGTAGGTGTTGTAACTGATACTGAAGAATGACTTACCCATCGCCTGCTGAGAGAGTGTCTGCTCTTTAAACTGTATTTCCCAAAAATGCCCTGTAGGAATGTGTGTGTGTTAGTCACTCAGTCCTGTCCAACTCTTCGTGACCCCTTGGACTGTAGGCCACTAGGCTCCTCTGTCCATGGGATTCTCCAAGCAAGAATACTGGAGCGGATTGCCATTTCCTTCTCCAGGGGATCTTCCTGACCCAAGGATTGAACCCCGGTCTCCTGCAATGCAGGCAGCCTCTTTACCGACTGAGGCACCAGGGAATACAGGAAGGGCGACATTATATTTTGATTGGCGGCAGACAGTATGGGCTTATATTGGATTGTCTGGGCAAATTTATTAATAGGGTTGCCTTTCACTGTTAAGAATATCCTGTTTTTGATGATAAATTATATGGTAACATGATCTTGGGGTAAGCCCTCTGGAAGGGACCTTGGTGGGTTCCTAGTTCTCTTTGTGGAAGTATCGCGATGGTAGTGACGATGTCAGGAATCATGGACCTCATTTTTGCCTCCACCAGCCCATTCCTCCATGCCCTACCCTGGGAGGGGAAATGCCCCCATCGTGTCTCTAGAAGAATTATGGGAGAGTGGGTGGAGTTCTGGAATGAGACACCTAACAATTCGGTACTGTCTCCGGCTGTCCCCCCAAAACAAGCTGCACAGCCTTTGGCAAGTGGTCCACCTACCTGGGCCTCAGGATCCTCTTGTGAGAAGCAAGACAGCGCAGCCAGACGGCTGCGGAGGTTTCCTCCGGGTCTTACTCCCATAAGGGAAGTCGATAATATAGGGCGGCTCCCAGGAAGTCTCATCTTCCCTGGAGCATCACCACCAGCCCAGCTCTATGCATAATGCGCCACTGTCCCGTTAGTCCCGCCTCTGGCCCGGGGGTGTGACCACCTTCGTGGGCTCTTGAAACCCAAAAGCTAGGCCTGGAGCAACCCGAGTCCTGGTTGAGACGGCAGTTAAATCCCCGCTGAAGCAAGCCGCTCCCCCCCACCCCCACCCGGTCCACCCAGTGCTCAACCACCAGGCGGGCTGTGATCGCCCGCGGGGCCGTCTCCGGTCTCCGCCAAGCGTGGGACTCGCCAGGCCTCCCAGGCAAGACGTGTCTGTTTTTGTGTGTGTGTGTGTTTTTACCTTGAATCCCTCTTCCCAGCCCTTCCTGGGCGCGGGCACGCGTCTCCTTTCTTCACCGGGTTGGGAAGGTCCGCAGCCCATCGTTCGCGGTGCGCGCCGTTCCTGCGGCCGCGCTGCCCGTGCGCCCAGAGCGCCCCGCGCGCCCAGCGCCCAGACCCCGCGCCCCGCGCCTCCGCTGTCCACAGCCTCGCGCGCTTCAGGGCTCGGCAGGAGGCGCTCGACGCCAGGGAACTGTTGCCACAATAAAACACATCACGCGGACCTGGGAACTGCGCGGCGATGGGACCTTTGTAACCGGAAACTGCAAGATCGGAGGCGTTTAAGGCACACCCGGGATGCCCTCTCTCCAGAAAGGAGTGAGGGGGAGCTCCCCGCCGAGTTAGTTTTAAAAGTATCCTAGGCGCTGGCATCCTTCGGGGACGTCTTATTTTTTCCAAGGCACCGTGGGACACGCCCCTACCCCTGCTGCCCTAGCCGGGTGCTCAAGCTGTTGGTTTTGGGGTTACAGACCCCGAGGGGAGGGTAGGAGGCGGCTGCAGAAAGGCGGCGTAGGGGTCCAGTCCGCCGAAGCCCTGGAGGACAGGTGGGAGGTGGAGGCGGCCCGGATGGCCCCAGACGGCAGTGTCGCGCGGGGCGACCTTGGAGAGGACGGTGACGCAAACCGAAACCCACACAGTGAAGAAAACCAGACTTTTAGGATCACAAACAGCTCAGCAGCAGCGAAATGGGTCATGCAAATCTTTTTTTTTTTTTAATGGAAGAGGCATTTTTATGAGCTGTTGCCTTGTAAGGAAAGAGGGTGGATGAGTGTACCTATTTCTCTAAAAGAATTAACATGGTGTCATCCCCAAACGGCAGACCAGGCGGACTGCCCAAATGAGCAACAAGTTGTTCTTTACTGGATTTTTTTTTTCTTTTTATCCTATTTCCAATAAATATTAATTTTCCAGAATAAATTTTGAAACGCTAAATTAAATAAATGTTAAAAAGCTGAAAGAGATCTAGACATTGTTTACTGGTCCCTTATTTTACAGGCTGCAAACCTTTGCTCAGAGAGGTTAAGTGACTTAGATGGGGAGTGTGTGTGTGTGTGTGTGTGTGTGTGTGTGTGTGTGTGTGTGTTCGGGCGGGGGCGGGAGAGGAGTTAATGAGGGAATCCCTGAAGAGGAACCGGGTGACCTTCTTCAGTCCCATGTGTCCACAACACCGGGAAAATACTAGTATGGATTCTTGGAAGTGAAGTAAAATTCTGGATTCTGCTAAGGAAATTAATGGTCAGCTCTGTTATAGGATTATTTGCTTTATAGCATTTGAACTCCTTTCTCTCTCCTTACGGCCGTGATGCCTGTCAATTTTCCTTTGACTAAAACTGAAGAAGAAGAAAGATAAGGTGAAACCCAAGCCAAGGCTTTATGATTATTGAGCAACAGACGTTAAAAATTTGTGAATGGACAGTTGCAATAAGGCTAATATGGTGTTTTAGGAACATCTCTGAAAGTATTAACTCATGGGTGCAGTAAGTCACATGAAATGTTCCAACTGCAAACTGGAAAATTCTCAACTAGAAGAACTCAACAAAGAGGATGCCTATAAAATGTTCTGGAGAAAGTTTAAGGAAAGTTTGCAGGATGAACCTTGAAAGTGAAATTCTACAGATGTTTTTTCTTTTTTTCCTTTGAAGGCAAGCTGTGAACAGATGTTTGCTAGGATATCAGTGTGAAGAAATGATACCCAAATGCATTGTGCAGGTATCTTTTGAGACTTCCTACGATTTATAGTCCAAAGGTGTGAAAAATGCCCCTTTTAAAGGTATGTGCTCTAGCCTGCTCATAGTGTCTCATGAGAGCCAGTTCTCAGGACTGTTTGGATTAGCTGTTCAACACAGCCATTGCTAAAACTTACATTATATAAACTCACAATTAGTTATATTAAAAGCAAAGGTAATAAGTACAACTCATCAGGTCCTAATTATTTCATTACAACTTACTGCGTTTCTGAATTTATTTACGTCTCTTGAATCATGATGTGCTACTCTGCGTCTCTTCCCAACTCCATCTTCAGTGACCACATTGATAGTTTAAAATCAGCCAAGGTAGGACGAGGTATACTACGTGCTGTGCTGAGTCACTCAGTCGTATCCGACTCTGCAACCCTGTGGACTGTAGGCCACCAGGCTCCTCTGCCCATGGGGATTCTCCAGGCAAGAATACTGGAGTGGGTCGCCATACCCTCCTCCAGGGGATTTTCCCAACCCAGGGATCAAACCCAGGTCTCCGTCATTGCAGGCAGATTCTTTACTGTCTGAGGCACCAGGGAAGCCCAGGTACACCATGAAAATTGATAAATGCTACAAATCAAGGCTTTCTCCTTACCCTCCCTCCTACCCCACCTCCATGGCCCCCGAGGGACACACCACTGCCTGTTTGTTTTCCAGAATGCCAAGGAATGACTCTGTCCTGTTCACTCTCCTCTGACCCCTCTCTGCAGTGAAGTAGGCTTTGTCACCCCCAGCCTGAGCCACAGAATGTGTGCTGGTATCATTTCCATCATTTCTCCCTTCACTGGAGCTGGAGCCCTCTTCTAAGGCTCCAGGCTCTGTGTCCTTAACTATCCTGCTCTGGTATGTTCCACTTTGAAGACTCCTAGAGCAAAAAGTCCTTCAAGGCTCACCGAAGCAGAGCGATCACTTGCTCACTTTAAAGTTGGATATGCTGTGTGTGCTTCGCTGCTCGTGTCCGACTCTGTGACCCCATGGACTTAATAGCCCGCCAGGCTCCTCTGTCCGTGGGGACTCTCCAGGCAAGAATACTTGGGTGGGTTGCCATGCCCTCCTCCAGGGAATCTTCCCAAACCAGGGATCAAACCTGGGTTTCCCACACTGCAGGCGGATTCTTTCCTTCTTCCACTGAAGAAGCCCAATTTTTCTCATCAGTTATGAGTCATCTCTGGAAGGTCAAGTCTTTACTTCCATTTGGAATCTATGTAATCCTGAGTTTTGTATTTTTTTTTTCCTGGAGTGATGGGGGTATCATAAGGATTGGTGCCTCTTAAAGTTTACCGTGCAGGCCCTGTTAAAATGCAGATTATGATTCAGTAGGTTTGGGGATGCGGCCTCAAATCCCAGATTTCTGAAAGGCTCCCAGTGGTTCTGTCACTGTTGGTAGAGGATCACACTTGGAGTTGGAAAGGTATAGAACACATCAGAATATCAAATCATTACTTCATTATGTTTGGTTATCTTTTTGTTTGTTTGTTTAGTTGTGCTGCCCAGCATGTGGGATCCCAGTTCCTTGACCAGGGATTGAACTTGTGCTTCCTGCAGTGGAATGCAGAGTCCTAGCCACTGGACCGCCAGGGAATCCCCTCATCATTACTTCAAAAGACAGAAAGGAGAAAGGAAAAATGGCAAGAAGGAGAAAGGACTGAGCAGGAAAATGACAGGGAAGAATAAGATGAAGATCGTTAGACAATCAAGCACAGAGAAAAAGAAACCCTGGCCTCATTTTATCAAGGTGTTCTCCCTCCAGGAAGGAACTTTATTACATCGAATCACAACTAGGAGCCTGAGTGCCACACCAGCTTCTTCTATTCCTTTTCCCTGGTAGAGAATGGATCTTTGTGGGTTACTGTGTCAGAGTGAAGAAGAAAAGAAAATCCTTACTTGCCATCGCCCAAACTGTGGAGTTAGTTTTCCTCTTCGGTCTGTTCTGAAAGTTATACTTCCAAGGATGATGGGAAAACGAGAGAGCAGCCCTGGGAACATTCGTATATCAGGGAGGGGCGTTAGATTTCACATTGAAAACTCTCCAAGTTTAGTTCAGACTCTGAGATTTTCTAGGCAGTAGGACATCAGAGAAATAAATTCTGATCCCAACCACCAAATCCACTGAGTTTACCAGCATTCTTCCTATGCATATAAAAATCATGTGCTGACTTTCGGCGGAAGCGCTCTCCTGAGGCTTGCGGCGCAGCCCGGACTGCGTTCCCCGCCGGTCAAGGCTGGAGTCCGCGGTGTGGAGCATTCACCCTACCGGGGCACGGCTGGCCGCTTTCCTGAAACCAGATTTTTTCCATCTAAATTCACGTCGGTTCTTATTTCTCTTGCTGGCTGGGTCTGTAAGCGGACGGGGAAGTACTGTGCAGAGGCCCGTAGTGCGAAGCTGTGTGCCAAGTGCTTTGCAGATGCTTTAAAAATTCTTGCAACATTCAGGTGCTGAAGAAATTTTGGGATTCCGGTGAGGCTGGTAAAAAAGCCTGTTGGGCAGCTGTGTCAGCGTGTTATGATGCTGTCTCGTACCAACCTGGCTACTGGAATTCCCAGTAGCAAAGTGAAATACTCAAGACTCTAGTACAGATGAGGGCTACATTGACCTTCAGGGAGAAACTCACTGCTAAAGCCAGCAGATTGTGGGAACCTTCCTTCTTTCCTGATGTCATGAGATCCAATTTATTAAAGTTATAGAGAAGCCCTCCTAAGATCCCACATAAGGGCACTGCGCTTGCTACAGTGCTGTTTTTGATTGGCGCCTTTCTTATTATCATAGGCTCCCTCCTGCTGGCAGGCTGTATCAGCAAAGGCGGGCCAGACGGGCCCGTTCCTGTCCTGATCGTTGGCATCCTGGTGTTCCTGCCAGGATTTTACCACCTGTGCATCACCTACTATGCATCCAAAGGCTACTGGGGATACTCCTATGATGACATTCCAGACTTTGATGACTAGCACCCACCCCAGCCCTGAAGAAAAGAGTCACAGATGAACTGAGTCCAGCTTGAAGACACTGAGCAGAAACTATGACTACGGGCTAAGGAGTTCTGCAGTTTGCAGATGTTTAACCAAACAGTGGCCAAATTGTATGGGTCCATCCTGAAAGATGTTAACTGAGCTCACAAGTAACTGTCATTCCGGCATTCTCTTATTTTTCATTTTCTGGCCCTGGCAAAAATTTCCTGACAAAAGTTTTTCTGTATGAATATGCCTCATGGGAGAGTAGCAATATTAATTGAATGGGAAAGTGGGAGGTTATGCTGTAGTGGAAAGTGTTCTGCCACCACCCTTTTTAGAGTTGAGCATTCTTTTTTTTTTTGAGCATTCTTTTAAATAGTCCTCATGGACTATTTAACATAGTCAGAATGTTCTTATGGCAAATGGAAGAATGCAATATGTCAGATTTCTTATTACTAAGAAATTTATTTTGAAAATATCTAAGTGTCTTCTCCCCATACTCTTTAACTTTGTGTTCTAGTGGAAGACCTTGGCACAGTCAAATATCATGGTGGTGCATCTATAATATTTTTTACTTGCTTTCTTATTAACAACAACTAGGAATTTTTTAAACCTCAAAGCAAATTTTCAAAATGTAAACACTTTTCTGTGTACACCAATCCTTGGCCAGCTCTGATCTGGCTCACTGATAGGTTGACCGACATATAATTTGGATCATTCTGTCCTGTGTAGATCAAGATGTTCTTATATCATACCTTTATGGACTAGACTTTTGGCTGTTTCCTAAGGAAAAAATGTAGACGAATAGTTATTATTTAGAGTTTATAACCCTGTTGTTAGCACCTTGTATTAATGTCATTCTGCTGAAGATTTTAAGAATTGGCCTGGATCTCTAGAGGACTGGACTGCCTTAGTTTGATCTGCCTCCTAGCTTGCAAAAAGTGACTTGTATTCAAAAGAAATTAAAACGTCAAAATCTAAATCCTAGAAAAAAGAAAAAAGAAAAATTATGTGCTGACTTTCCCAAACATGTCCCAACTGACTGATTATTTCAGGAATAGCTGACATTTTTCGAGTGCTTGCTAAGGATTAGGTAAATGAGAGAACTTGATGACTGTGTTGATATTTCTATTTTATCAGTCAGTTGACTTAAAGCAAGGATGGGGAAAACTATGGCCCACTGCCTGTCTTTATCTGACACATGAGCTAAAAATAGATTTTAAATAGCTGAAAAAATAGAGGGAAAAAGAACATTAATTAGTGATTCATGAAGATTACATGGCGTCCAAGTTCCAGTGTCCATAAATAAAGTTTTATTGGAACACAGACACCCCCATTCGTTCACATGCTGTCTCTGGCTGCTTTCTGCTACGGAGTTGAATAGTTGTGACAGAGACCATATGGCTTTCAGAGCGGAGAATATTTATTATCTGGCCTTTTATGGGAAATATTTGCTGATCGCTGATTTAAAATGATAAAATGATTCCCACAAGAGCGTGAAGTGATTCTGTGAGACCCTAATGGCCTGAAAGAGTTTGTACCACTTCCACGAAGGTGCAGGACTCCCAGGAAATAGCTTCTATAGGAGGGGAATTTATCTCATTAACTAACAACTCCCAGGCGCATGAAACATTTTAAGTGGCTTCATTCAACTGCTGAAACCCTCCCCTGCCACATGGAGAGCCCTGTTCAACAGGCTGGCTATAGAGTAGGGAACAAGACTCCCCCGTAAGGCTCAGCTGTTTTGCATCCTGAGACAGAGCACAGGCAGCCTTGCAGCTTCTGGAAAAAAGAAAAGAGAGCACCAGATTGTAAGAAACAGGGTGGTATTTCGGGTGTCATCTTGAATTTAAAGACCTAATTTTAAAACCCGGTATTGTTCTGATTCGTCATGTCCTTTTGTCAGACGCTTCAACCCAAACACTGTATTTCTGGAAAACAGTCCTCTCCTTCCTGCACACGTTGTGTTGCTCAGATGTGAAGTTTCTATCTGTGGAATCCGCTGGGGCAGGTTGCCTCAGTAACAGAACCAAGCACATTTAGAAACCTCACAAATCGGTCTGTGAACGGTCATGCGATAAAGGAAACTACTATGAGTCCAGGCAAGTTGTACCAGCATATTGTTAAGAAATACACAAGACATTTGCATAATTGAGATTTGTGACATCCATGTGCGAAAGCTTGCCATGACACCAGTGATGAATTAATGGAATTGCCTAAAATGCAGAGTGCAAGCATATTTTACGCCTCCCTCTAAGGGACTTGACAGGACAGATTCTGGCAGAGAACTCTCAGAAATAAATGAATAAGCCCACAGACAGGGGAACAATTGTTTTCCAGACTTTGGCATTAAGCCACCGATCTGGATGTTGGTTCATTCAACACAAACTGGGCAAATACAGAGAAAACACCCATCTCAGAGGAATAGCTCAGAGGATAACAGCTTCACTGGAAATGTAGCCATAATAATCTCATAGAATTATAAGCCTTCTATTGTACATCTACCCAGAAGAACCAGTTCTGAACCACCTTTAGGTAGTATGTGGGTCTAAGACGATGCTGAGGGCTGAACAGGGATGTTTAAGAGGAAAGCCAGTCCTTGCTGAATCGCAGTTGGAAAGGCAAGCTTGCTTTTCAGAAAGCTGTAACAGCTTTTAAGGTTACACATGGTAATTTTCACACACTGATATTCTCACAATTAAAGAAAAGTAATATTTAAGTGATTTTCACTGCTTCCAATTTTGGCAGTACGTGGGCACAGAGCACGGCGACTTTTCGAATGAGTGGTGTGATTTTTCTGCGCTGGCCTTGAACATATTGTTGGACGCTCCAGGGGAGTTTGGCTGCTTGCAAGAACTGAAAGACTAGGGGAAGAACAAAGCTCTCTCAGAGACTTGAATTTTTTCTCCACTGGAATGTGGTGGCAAGAATGCTGGGCCAGCTGGCTGGGTAGTGGACTGGCCTCCAGGAAGTTACTTAACCTCTGGGGGCCAGCTCCTCGATTTTCTAGTAGAAGGACTCGACTAGGAATATGCTGAATGCTTAATAACCCCCGGAGCACTGATTCTCAAAGTGAGGTACTGCCATGTCTGTTTCAGAATAAACTCTGTGGCATGTCATAAATGCAGATTCCCAGCGACTTGAAGAGATATGTTGGATCAGAATCTCTGATATGGATGCTCCAGAGTCTGCATTTTTAAGAAGTATTTGGAATTATTTGTGTACATAGGAGAGCAGAGAGGAGAAGAGTCTGGGCTCCGAGAAGGCCAACCAATTATACCACCTTACTAAGTCTCAGCTTGCTCATCTTTAAAATAGTAGATGGCAATAGTATCAACGTCTACCTCCTAAAGTTATCAGGAGGATTAAATGTATATACATGTATATATTTAATGACTAACTAAATATATACAGGCATGGCAAATGCTTCACTTATCCACAGTAATTATAAAATTCATGGTGGCTAAGATGATTTGGACTGCACTTTGACATTTAGAGTTGACCTATTTTTTCTTGTAAAGGAGATAAAATTCTAAATTCTGGCCGAAAGCCCACAACTTTATCAATTTAACATAACTGCAAGTGAAGAAAATTCTTGTTGGCTAATCTCGCTTTTGAACAAGATTTATTCTTTTTGCTTTTTAGCCACAAGCTTGCTTCCTTCTCATTTCTAGACCCACAAGGACAATTCAGCTGCACTCTAGCCCTCATGTATCAGGCCTCAAAGCTCCAGGGGACAAAAAAAAAAGAGTGCAAGTATCACTTGTCATTTACCACCAACCGAAAGCAAGCATTGCCCTTTTCACAGTGGATGCTGCCAATTTTCTTTCTTCTGGAGAAACCCCCTTCTGAGCGGGTGGGGGTCACACAAGCCGCATGACTCCCTGCTTCCCTCCGTCTTGTCTTTGATCAGGCTCTACAATTAGAGCAGCTCCAGCGAGCTGCCTGCTCCTTGCTCTCCGAATAAGCTGCGGTGAGGGCTTGATAGTCAGAATTACTTGGAAGGAAATTATAGCTCTTCTCCCCTTGGAAAGTCTGTTGAGTCTCTCCAGGAGATCCATCACAGGGAGGCTGCTACAGATTTCTCTCTCTGTGTGAAGACTGCAATTCAGGTACAACAGCTTTGTTGGGAGTTAGGGATGGGGGAAGGAGGCAGAGATAATGACAGAAAGAGAAAGAGAGAGGGAGAGAGATGGAGACTGTTTATACTGGGGAAAGGCCAGGACGACCTTCCCAAATAAAGAAATGTGTGTGTCTTGAGTATGCTCTGGGCCAGCCTCCACTGAGAAAGAGGAACGTGCGGGCTAGTGTCTAACTCCTTGTGACCCTATGGACTGTAGCCCACCACGCCCTCCTCCAGGGGATCTTCCTGACCCAGGGATCGAACGGTCTCTTATGTCTCCTGCATTGGCAGGCAGGTTCTTTACCACTGGAACCACCTGGGAAGCTCTTTGAGAAAGAGGAACTCGGTTCTTTGCCTGTATGGGCTGCATCCACACACCAGGTGGCACCAGTGCCATTGCTTACAGAAATGGCTCTTTTATTGAATGCTCTAAACTTGGATTGGGCACTTACTGTCAGGAGCTCTGCTGAGCCCATAGTTGGTCTATGGTAATGTCTGCTTTAACTCTACATTTCAGTCATGGGTCAGTGGGTGACATTCTTTTAGGGCCAGTCATTATGAGTACAATGATCAGGCAGAGACTGTGCAGCTAGAATGAAAAAATGTTAATCATTCTTAAAAACAAAAAGATCTGTGTTCAGCAGGGCAGCTCAAGTCTTCCCTGGTGGTCGAGTGGCTAAGACTCAGCTCTCCCAATGCAGGGGGCCTGGGTTCCATCCCTGGTCAGGGAACTAGATCCCATGTGCCGAAATAAAGATATAAAGATCGAAGATCCTGAGTGCTGCAACTAAGACCCAGCACAGCCAAGTAAAATAAATAATTTTTTTTTTAATTAAAAGAAGGCCAGTTCAAGAGCTAATGCAAAACTCCAGCT